AGAATTCCCCAGCCAGCATTCGCTGGCTGGGGAATTCTGGGAGTTGAAGTCCAGACATCTTCAAGTGGCCAAGGTTGAGAAACACTGACCTAGAGAGAGCGGCAAAAGGCACAAGAGAGCGGGTTTGCCCGTGGATTTCCTCCTATGCTAACCTTTTCTATCTCTACGGTTCCTCTCCCAGACAGCCATGAGCTCCGAGCCTCGCAACCGTCAGCAGACGCTGGCTTTACGGAAGCAGTTCATCGGGTAGGTGCCTCGGCAGCGGATGAAAAGACCATCCTGTGTCGTAAAGTGCGAGACGCCCCCCCCCCACTCATTCCGCAGTAAAGGGGGAGCCGCTGCAATACACGCGCGCTGCGCTTCTGCTGCTTGCGGTTGGCGCGGCGCCTTCCTCTCAGGGGGTCTTGCTGTTTCGGCTCGTTCCGCAAGAGCGACAGCTAAAGGTGGCAGCTACGTAGAGCCCCTATTGGCCCCCATCGAGATGTTTACCCGTGAGATCAACTCGACTGCCCCGCGCTGCCCGGATTTATTTCTATCTCTGACTCGAGGATTTTCCGGAATGCTCGAGTCAGCGTTACAAAATGGTCTAGAGTCTAGGCGGCGGTGATTCTTCCCCGGGGGACGAACAGACAATTTCTTAAATTTGTAATAATTATAATTGTATAATTGAGTGTGTATCTAATTTGAAAACCCAGTGGTTGGTTTGTTTGGATATCTGTGGGTTAACACAAGTAAACTTCGCTTTCTTTTTCTATGTACAAGGACAGTTCAAGGTACATCTCTGTAAATCTCTTGCTCTTGGAGGCACCAAGAAGTGTTGTTAAGGCATAATGACTGTAATCGGAATGTTCCTATTAGGAGCATGCACACTAAAAGCCAACCTGCACTGCTGGCTTCGCTTGAAAGTTGCACAACTCCTTTCATTACTAATGACACAGTGAAGCATGCTCACAGGAGCTTGAAAAACCACTACAGATCAGGCATCTCCAAAACATGACCCACGGGTTGCATGTGGCACTGGACAGCTATTAATGTATATTATTTATATACATTAACTATCTGATCTATCTGATGTGCGGCAAAAGACAATTCCAATTCACTCACAGTGGCCTAGGCAAGCTAAAACTGCCCTAGGGAAGCCAAAAGGTTTGTATACTGAGGTTACACAATAGGGCAGTGATGGCGAACCTTTTAGACACTGAGTGCCCAAACTGCGCACAAGCACATGCCCAAACTGAAAGGTGTGCATGTGCGTAAGCACACACCTGTACAACCATGCTTATGCACATCCGCAAACGTGCACAGGTGCAACAGAGATCCAAGGACCAGCTGGTGGGCAGGAGAAAGAGCATCCCAACATTGGCAACGCAGCAAGAGGTAAGATCTTTTTCTTTCGTGAGCTTCTGTTTTGTCATTTGCAAGGCAGGGAAACAAGCTCACAAAAGAAATGCCAGAGATCTGACTTGGGGCAATGGCGCGTGTGCCAGCAGAGAGGGCCATAGGTTCCCCATCACAGCAATAGGGAATCCCACATCTACCCATATTGTACTCATTGCATCCACCAAGCCTGTGACTTGATTTCCTGAGAAGTCTATTGTGAAACATTGTCTCAGGATCCAATATAATGTATTTTTCAGAGTGTAAGACGCACCTTAGTTTTTGGGGAGGAAAATAAGAAAAAAACCCTTCCTCTGCCTACCAGAATCCATGGTATTCAGCTGACACATGGTAACAAGATTAGCCAATGAATAGGCATAGCAACTAAATCAGCCAAT